GAACTTTATTCAGCAGACTCACTATTGAAAGTAAAAAAACATTTTAATAATAACTTAATAAACATGTCTCGAAGCGTTCTCATACCTTGTCCATTTCTACAATCTTGAAAAAAATATGATAAATGATAATTACTTGTTATTTCATTTATTTTACATTAGAGACATTTCTGAGTTTGTAAGAGGAAAAAAGTGTAAGGGTAATCTTTAAAGAATGAACTTTGAAGGTGTGAAGGTCTAAAAGGTTGAAGTTGATAAACTTTTCATTATGGTTTATGTATGCCATATATCTAAGCATCAAGATTGAGTTCATTTAAATAATCATTATGGCAATAAATTAGGACTATAAGTTGATTGTGAGCCGAGTCGCTTTTGAACCAGAACTGATTACTTTTTGAACTTCACCAATTCTCGGGTGAAAGCAAAGGTTTTATAAGTTCAGCCCATGGTTCAGATTATCAAACTATTGAAAACACGTAATGGCTTATTTTCATCTTAACTACATTGAGTAATATGTTGTCTATAGATATTTTGTATATATATTTACTTCTCTTATTATTCGCGGCATAAATCTAAGATATTAAATTAACTAATTGATTATTAATGTTATTAATATTGTTGTGATATTTCATTAAAATCACTAAACCAATTAAAATTGACATTGAAGTGCATAAAAAATTAATTTAATTAAGTCTTAAGAATGAATTTGAACGTTAGACTGTATATAGACAGTCTATGGATCGTATTTTAAAACGTTCTTCCGCGCCTATTAAATCGATTGAATTGAGGTTTCAAATTATTTTGGGGAAGAAAGGTTAAATAGTTATCAATTCGTGCTTCTTTTTTTTCGGGCCTGTGAGTATTTTAATAAATATTTTCAATACTTTTGAGTTCCAGCTTTTAAAAAGGCAGTCGATAGATATTAGTAAAACATAATATATTTTCATAGCCTAGAGAAAGTTTAAGTGCTTGTAATTTCTTAAATTAAGTCGAATTATTTATTACGAATTGCTTTAATTATTTTTCATTTTAAATGATCTTATTAAAGTTATTTTTAAATTATTTTTTACACAAAAAACACTAAAACAATTAAAGTTTTGAAATATTTCGAAAAGAAATTTTAAAAGAATTACATTTTGTTTGTCTTATTGCCGTAAATGATGTATTGTTAATAGCATTTTCAAAGCAAAAAACAAGTAATAAATATTTTACAAAATCCCTGTACAAAAAAAATTTAAAATAAAATTTAACAATGCAAATTGTTAAATTAATTTGATAAATTTATGTTGATTAAAAATGGAAAAATATGTATCTTTACCACACAGAAATGGAGCATGTTCTTAGTTACTACGTCGTTGCCTCTGCCCGGGACTAAGTTCATTGCGGTAAAGATACTTGAAACTGGGCAGACGTTTTTTGTAAACAATTCACGCACAAAGATGGTAAAATCAAGGCCCAAACGACATCTGAGATAAAAATGATCGCGTCGTCAATAAAATTTGCCTGGGTTAGAAACACAATTTTGAAACGAAAAATGACAATAAATAAAAATTTATAAATTAAAATCAAAAACAAAAATCACAAGCACAAAATTTAAATGAAAATAAATCAAAAATCTAAAATATTCAATCTAAAATGTCATTCCCAAACAGCAGACGTGCGTTTCGGCTTATTTCAGTAAATCTTGCATGATCGGATGTGGAACATAGGCAGCGAAATAAGACCTTGGTTTCTGTAGTAACCTACATTGAAATAATTGAAACAGTTTTTTTTTTGTATACCGGAAACCCCCAACGATCATGCAATTTATGATCTGAAATAGTCGAATGCTGTTGGGCAACCTAAAAGTAGGCAACGTGTATAGTGCAAAGAAAAGCGTGGGTACACTTCAAGCGACTAACACAAATCCCAAAAAGAAGGTTGGCGGTAAGTTTTTATGAATGTCAACGCATTTTGTGTTTAAATGTGAGCTGTAATAAGTTTTTTTACTTAATTTATTCAAATGAAATAAATATTAAGAAATGCTTGATTTTCTTAATTTCATTCCGAAACAAATCATACAAAAATTTTATTTCCTTAATATTCTTCATCATGAATACAGTTTTCAATAATTTTAATAATTTTATCTCAACAAATATGTCATTTCTTCAAAGCGTTTTTATGCCTTGTACCATCCAAAAACAACTTATTTGAATATCGAATATCGAATATCGAAAGCATAGTTCTAAGTTTTCAAAGCAAATTTTAAGGCGCATTCTCTTGAAGAGGGCAAAGAAAACATTTCATAAATTGTTTCAAATTGTTGCTTTTATTATTTTAAAATTAATTTCACCTTTTCTATCATAATTAATAATAACCAGTCTTTGTTATATATAACACATTTGTAAAAAAAAAGTTAAAAGAGTTTATAACAAAATTCATTCTCAATGGTATAACAAAATAATTGGATGAAACAGCCATTGTTCTAATTCTAATTTCTCTGATATACTCGATAAGCTAGTCTTCTGTAACTATAACTCTTTACCAGCTATTAAAAAATTATTGAACTTCTAAAAACTAAACAAACTACAACTTTTAATACTTTAAAATTATATTTTTCGTTATTGACTTTAGTCAATCACTTCATTTGTTTCTCACATTACTCTCATTTCCATGTTTCTGTCCTCTTCTTCTCGGAATTCACTCCATTTTTGTAACATTTTTAATTTATATTCTTGTGAATGTTCACTATTCGTTTTGTTCTTTAAATTTCAACTTGTATGCCATCTCTTTTTCTTCATTTTATCATTAATTATAAAAATAATCTTGATCTCCATTAAATTTTTACTCACGCTTATTTTTTCATGCTCAGCACACCCTAAAAATGTGCTAAGAAAAATTAACATAAAGTTTGTTTAGTAATTAACATAAACAAATTCCGTAGTATCTCAACGGATCATTATAGGTGATCAAGTGGGCTTTAGTTTGCAAGATCGCCACTCCAACCGAACCAAACCGAACCAAACCGAACACAATCACAGTGCATTCTCCCTAAATTCGCACACTTCTTTCAAAAAGGTATTAAAGTGATACTACTATATTGACAACAGAAGAAAGTATAACTCTTTACTCAAAATCTTAATCTGCTTAAAACTTAGAACTGTGTTTTGATAAATCATTTTCAACGAACTAGAATACAAATTTGAATAAAACAAATCTTTCCATTTCTGACATACATCATATCATTCAGTAGTTCGCTGCAGCTAAATCGCGCTCATCCACATGAACTTTTTTTTAAATCAAACGCATTCAATGTTTTGCAAATACAATGAATATTTTTTCATTCTTGTTTCATTGAAAAAACTCAAATTAAGATTCTCTTTAAATAATGAAAAACAAAAAAAAAACCGTAAAAAGGATATTTTGATATTTTTCTAACAACACACCAACATTCACTCACAATCAGTCACACTCATTTCCACAAATATTTTTCTATTTTTTTCAGTACTATTTTGAAATTTTTTCTTCTTTATAATATATACATAGATATTTTTGCTTTCTTTTTGTTTTGTTGAAATACAAATCGTAAATTGTATAAACTCATTATATAAATGAAGTCTTCTATTCCTTAATCTCTGATGTACAAGGATACTCAATTACTTCTTTTCGACAATACTTGTTTTGTGCTTTTTTGTGTTCACTATTTTAATCCCAACTACTCGTCAATGTTGTTGTTATGTTCATGTTTAAATTTACGTTTATGTCTTATTTTTCATTTAGCAATTCCCTCATTACTCCTTTTCTTTCACTTCTTTAAAGCACATATTTCGCTGTTTCGTGTAGTACGCAACGGACAGCAACTCCTTTAAGGATGTTTTGTACTGTAACACTTGAAGGACATCAAGACATATCGCTCATATACATAATACATAATCGGTCCATCAAAAGCCATTTCACCCATTTTTTTTAATCATTTTCAAGCCAGTTCCTAATGAATATACTAGTCAATATATATATATATTTTAATTGTGTGTGTATATATGTGTGCGTTGTGCTCCCCCCATATAGCAATGCAAAAATCTCTGAATGACAAAAACTATGTATGTATATATGATATGAATATACATATATCTACTATTATTATTCTAATTAATAATATTTAATATTTCTTTTATATTAATTATTATATTTTTATTTATTCTAATTTAATTATTTTTAACTCTCAATACGAAACTAATTTTTGTGTGCCTAAAAATAGGCTTTAGAAATTTAGCCGAGCGAATGTGTAGTTGCACTTGTTCAAGCGGTGAACACGTGCAACTATTGTTGCTAATTAATTGGATAAATAATTTAATTTGTATTAACGTATTGACTTATGTTCATATTTATGTTTATTGTATTGTTTTTTAGTTAATTAAGCTTGTGAAAATTAGTTTTACCATAAAATTGCAAATAAATTTAAATAAAGCAAAGACGATATGCGAAATTAGTTTGTACCCCTAAACATTGGCTAACATAAACGAATTCCCTCCGAAGTCATGCATCCCACTGTAATAATTAAATGTATTGGTGTTTGCTGTATTCATAAATTTTTACATACATTCATATATGAAATAAATAGCCTAATGCTGCATATACTTACTATTAATTATTAACTATATGTGATATTAATTAACTGCTATTAGTTTAAATGTGCAAATATGCTTATTGTTTTTGGTTTTGTTTTTCTTTCTTTTTTTTGTGATATAAACAATTATTTTCTTTATAATTTCAATTTTAGTTCTGGATATTTGCATATATACGTCTATGTATGTATATATATATTTATGCAAATAAGATGATTAAAATTGTGTTAATTAGTGTATTATTTAGCATTTGGTGGAGAGTGTAACCCATATTGATATCTATATAGAAATAGTGACGCATAACGATTACTAATATATATATATTAATGTGAATGTATATTAGGCATAAGGACGGCTCATGCTCCACTCAAATTAATTTTAGAAATAATTCGTTTACAGAGTTCAACATGGTAGCTTGCAGGATAACGGACGCCCGTAATGTTGCAACTAACAATCCACAATTGCATAATCGTAGTACGGGCTCGATTTCCGCTGGTCAAGTGCCTTTAAAAAAGTAAGTAATCCAGACCAAATTTCCAACAATATTTTTTTATTTATTAATGTGTTTTTTAATAAGTCAAATTTGTGTTAAATTTAATCGGTTTTTCATTAACTTTTATTTTATAATATTTTATTATATCATTTTCTTATATATATATACGAATAAATTTTTTTTATTTTTTTATGTTATTTGATTTATAAGGAAGATAAGATAATTAATTAAAAAATCAAGAATTTAATAATAAATTAATAAATAAATAATAAATTAATTAAGAATTTAGAATAATAAAAGTTAAAAAATAATAATAGTTATGATTTAGAATCGTCTACCTCATTCTCACGTATACGTGCATACGTATATATTTAGAACTATAAAGTATTTCACAAATTAAAAACGTCTTTAGAAACAAATATAAAGTTAAAAAAGTTGTCGATTGATGAACCTGAACTTCAATAAAAATCAAACATTTCAACATTTAAGTAAATGACAAAAATAACATTTACCTACATTATTATTGTTAGGGGATATGGCACTGCGACCGTCGGATCTATTGTACCCCCTTTTGAATTTAAAATGAATCTCTAAAAAAAAAATTATAGAACCTACTTTACAGAGTTTTATTGTCTCTACCGTAACAATATACATTCCCAGGAATCTATTCCGTATGTGCACTAGTGCAGAGCATTCTAACAACACATGTGTGGCTAATCCCTCATTCTCTTCACAGAATCTACAGTTTGCATTCATATATATACCCAGTTCCGCAAAGTGATATTTTAGTTTATAGTGCTCTGTTAGGATTCCTGTGATGATTCTAAGTTTTTCTTTTGAAAGGTTCATACAGTCCTGGAATCTGTTATTGTTATAGGTACCAATAAGTGATTTGGATTGTGTTAATCCTGGTATATTGTCCCAGTTATCCTTTTTATTCTAGTTCTCCAACATTTACATAATAAAAAACATAGACTATATATATAAATATTTTGATTCATAAAGCAATAGTCGAGCAAGTTGTATTTATGTATGAACATAATTTAATTATTTTTTGATAAACACTTTTAATAGTTTAAAAATGATAAATAATTACAATGAAGCACTGTAAATTGAATAATCACCTATCGAAGTTTGGAATTCAATCCAACTCAGACTGCAGATACTGTAGAGAAGAGAGAGAAAGTGCATACAATGTGTTTGGGGAGTGCCCGGCACTAATGCACAAGCGGAAGAAACACCTAGGAGGGTATTTCAAGGATCATAAGGATCCAAGACTAGAAAAGATAGGCTCTAACTAACTTTTTTTAAAGAAATCGGACTTGGGTCGCAGTGCACTATCCATTCTTTTCAATAATGATATCACTAATACTATGTAGCAAATCATTATGTCTCTTATTTTTGCCTTATTATTTGAACAAAAACAAAACAGCTTGCTCTTAGATAGAACAATAGTCAATCCTTATAAAGGTTGTTTTCTCTATAAACTAGTGTTAACCGTCGAACTAACTAAAAAATGCAATGCTTACTTGCATGTCAACGCCTAAACTGAATGTTAACTGTCATGTAATCTTATAAACATAATGTTAATTGTCATGTTAACTTTTACAGAGCTTAACAATCTTAATGGCGTTTTTGATTAGTAAATATGGATTCATAATCTGGATTCTGGTCTTATAAATTAATCTCGAGGGTTATACATTTGAAGTTTTGCTTATGAATAATATGAAATATATAAGAAAAAATTATCTTCTGTAAATTATTTATTAAATTAAATACATTATACCTTTTAGGTCTTATAATTTCTTATATTGATTTTGTGAGCAATATTATTTATTAAATTAAGTTAAATTAAGAATTTCATTTTCTCATATTTTATTTGATATTGTGTATTTAATTTAGTTCTTAGAGTTTATCATTTCTTTTTTAATTTCAATTAAGTTTTCTTCTTTTTTCGGTTTAAAATATATTTTAGTAAAATTTTTCAATTTTAGTACATCCATAATATATTATTTCCATGATATTATCATTCAACTAATTTGATATAAATCTTTAATAACACATTTTCCTTCATTCTTCTATATTTTTTCCATTCAAAAAAATCTCATACTATAAAAAATATCTATATATAAATCAAAATAAATACTAAACTGAACTAAACTAAACTAAACTTGGTTAACTCATCATCATACGGCACACATCATTAATTAATTTAAATAAATTAAAATAAAATAATAATTTTAACAAACAAATTAAAGCAATACTGAGCATTACCGTGATTATGAAACCGTATTTATAGTACCAGGTCCATCATGTCATAATCAGAATCGTAAGAAATATTCTTATTTTAACAAAAAATAAATACCGTGCATTTACAAAAAGGTTAAAAAATATTTTTTATATTTAAATTTAACACTTTCTTGTTATTGTAATTGAATGTTGTAATTTTAAAAAGCAATACGTTTTATTGTAGTTTCATACATTAACAAAAAATTGATTTTTCTGTTTTTAAACATCCGTACAATGACCTTTCCTTCCCATTACTTAAAATATCGGACTAATTACATTACTGCATTAATCACTATGCAGTGATAATGGTTCACTTATAGTTTTATAAATCGAAAATGTTACGATTAAGTATAGCACAATTCTTACTAAATTACAAATAAGATTGAAAAGTATCTGAAGAAAATGAATCGACATACACTATTGACAACGCCTTGAACAATGTCAAGAACCCATATAACACAGTGACTAGTAATAGATTTTCAGACTAGTATTTGTACCCTCTGACAAATTTCATGTGAAAGTAATTTTATTGAATTTTATATGCACTTCAACGGAAAGATTTGTTGAAGAAACCAATAGGTTCCAATAGGTGAAAAACTTCCAGTTGAAAAAAATGTGCAAAAGCAGAACTAAATATTGGGACAAAGAAAAGAGATAAGCAATCGGATTCGATTAGTTTCGGGAGTCAGGAAAAAAATAATATAAGGAAAGAAAATAAACAAACAGAAAGAAGACAAAGAAAGGTGAAGAAGACACAAAGGTAAACAAATCCAATACAAGATATATAATAAGAAAAATAGGAAAAAAGAAAAATGAAGAGGTCTATTAAAAAAAAAATAATATTAGATTGTATTAAAAAAGACACACAGACAAAGATAAGTAGACTCCTGTAAGAATCAGAGAAGAGAGTACTTGAGAAGATACTTACGATACTTGACTTCCGTTTGGATTACTTGCTTTTGTAACATATCGCAGAAGACAAGTAAAATATGTATTAGTAAAGGGCAAGCGTAATTAAAATAAAAAAGTTATATTTAATTAAAATTGGAATAAAATTAAAAAAATATATAAATAAAAATCAAAAATATAGATGATGTGGAATTAATAGACAAAGAAAGCAATATTAATAAACAAGTAGAAAAAACGAAAATAAGTTGACAAAAGTCAATGAATGCAAAAACAAATATAAAAACTGGGAAAGATAAGATGTAAAAAGAATTACTCTTAATGATTGCAAATAAACAATTAAAGAAATAGGATATAAGAAGCTACGTGATATTGTAAAAAGCCAAGAAATGAGAAATACGATAGATCCAAGCACGAAGTCAAAAGAATATAAATAAACAATATAAACACAGTTAAGAACATATACGTGTCATATACATAGGGTATTGTTGGACACTCAGCCAGATAAGGACGGCGACATAATCGAAGACAAATATCAAACATAAGTATAAATAATATAAAAAAAATATATGGAGAACTGTCTGAGGAGACAAATTAGAGAAAAAAACGCAATGAATTTAGTATTATCAAGTATCGCTTAGCCTAATCTAGTAATTTTGACTCTAGATAATATCCTAGACTTTAAGTACTGCCACTTGCGGATTATATACAGTTTATGCATTTAGAATGTTACAAGTTAAATATAGATATAGGTATAATAAGAATCTAGTGAAAATCTAAATAATATAATACAAGTTGCTGTATGATATATAGTAGTATAGTCGAAATATCTGCGGACATTATTCTCAAATCATTCTTCACGTTCACTTCCATTAAACGGCATTAATTTGATAAGACATATTATTTTTATTAACATCTTTCATTTTTATACTAATATCATTATACACATATAATCATTACTATTAGTAATATAATTATATAAACTATAGTAAACTAAAACATTTGTATAAGCTTACTAAACTAAAGTATTTGTAAATAATATTTGCTGTCTGTTTTATATATATTTACCTACAAAACCTTTATTATGTCTGGATACTGAAGACCAAAAGGTTGGATTTAATATATAATTGCTTAAATTTATTAACAATAGATTATTTATATAAAGCAAAATACTGTCATATGATTTTTTATGTTTTTTATAACTATAAATAATTTTATATAGTTTAACTATATAGAGATTCTGCATGCATTGGAATATTTATGTTAATATACTTATAGACATATATTGTTTGTTTTATTGTTAGTTAATAGAAAAAGCACTAAAACCGTGTATACAAATAAAACAGCCGAGCTCGTAACAAGGTTAATAAGAAGTTCGATTCATAGTCCAATAAATTTGCATTATTCGATTAATTAATCTTCATATTGATAATCTTGGCTACTTTGTTTTATATATGAATTTTTAGATGAATATTTTGATTGAGTTTTAAGTCTGGCACGCTTGCATGATTTTTACAGTGTGTTATACTGCTTATTATTGTAGTTATTTTTTAATAAGAATTCTGTAAAACTGTTAAGTTAAACATGTTCTAATGAGTTTATATTACATCCATTACTCTAACAGATATAAAGAAACCCGAATATCAAGTCTAACAACCATACTCATCGCCATATTGCATTGGATTTGGCCACCGGATCGCTGTACAAACTGTCATTCCATTTATAGCTCACCCCATTTAATTCATGACGAAGAGGCGCGCAGACGATCAGTCAGTCAAATTCAACGTTCTATTGATGGACGTTTTGTACTCTCCGACGTCATTTCTGATGGAAATAAATTAAGTACAATTAGTCTCGCTCCAGATGGCGTAGATGAAGTAGATGGTTCCATAGAACGTCGAAACAGTAATGCCTCCCAGAATACATCCAGTGATGATGGCGGTTTTTTATCGAGAAGAAACTTCATAACTGCACGCGCTTCTTGGCGACGTCCTTTAGTCGCCTCACCAAGCCAACTTAGTTTACAATCGGCGGCTGGTTCAGCCAGAGGATTTCTACAAGGTCTTACTGGCTTATTAAAGGTCGGCAGTGGTGGTGGTAATATTGACACAGCTATTGATGACTGCAACACAGGCGCACGTTATCAGAATATCTTCAGACCACACTATGGTCGAAATATCTATCGCAATCTTCAACCAGCACAGCCAGCGCAACCGACAAGTCGGCCTTTACACATAAATACATTACATGTAGGCGGAACGGATGGTCTACTTGCACATCAACACCACACACATCTGCATGAGTTGATTACACCCAATATGTACACACCCTCGAAGATATCGCGTATGTTTTCAAGTTCGCCAGCGAGCACACCAAATGATGGCATCAACTTAAATAGTACTCATATGCATAATACTGGACTACTCACATCACCATGGGCATTAAGTACACCAACTGGTAATCAACACAACCATCATTTCAGCGATATAAGTACCGTGTACCCGAGCTCGGCTGAGCGCTCGTTTCCCTTGCCGGCGACCAGTGGTAATCTCAGTCGGTACCGCTACTATACGCATGAATTGCCTTCATTACGCACCATACAAGAAGAAACGCGTCGTATGAATCAACAACAACAACAACTACACGAGTTTGTGCCACTGCAAATACCGTCACCACCGTCCTGGCGTAATTACTATCCCGGTCAGGCGCCTTACCACAGTTATCGACCGCGCACACGTTGGTATCCACGCCATTACTCACGCTTATTTGGACGGACACAATCCGAACTGCTTTCACCATTGCCACATTTGAATTTATCACTACGTTCCAGTTCAGCAATTGGTACTGGAATGGGCTTAGAGGCATCTCCCGAATCACGTTCTAGTTCCAGTGGTTTTGGCTCGAAAAACACTTCAAATCAACCACATGGATCTCATCATTCAGGCAGCACAAGTGAGTGGCGTTTGCTGCCACCTTACCGCCCACCACCACCACCGCCATCGAATAATGCAGCCTATTTTAGCATGCAACAGCAACTACTGCAATCGCCACATAGCCAACCACAACAAGCACAAGCGCAAGCGCCCGTACACACGCATCAACTACATCAGCAACACTTGCAACAGCAACAACATCAAAACTTTTGCACTGCCACCTTACCATACTACAGCCACAATAATGGTCTCCATAATTACTACAGCAACAGCAGCATGCCGCGTGCTACAACGCCACCATATACCATGGCACACTGGTTGGACATGATCTCACGTCTAAATGCCGCTACAGATAATGTTAACCTGCCGAAATCTGTGGATGTTGGCAGTGTCGATGGACACTATGAATTCGATCCATCCACACCCACACCTAGTGCTTCTACACCTACAGGCGGCCTACTGCGCGATGATCTCAATTTGCATATCGACACAACAGGACATCATACGGTGGGGCTTATGAACGGTGGCAGTATATTTCACACGAGTGCTTCGGGAATGCCCGCATTAACATGTGCTGCCACCTATGGCGGGTCAGTGCGCAAAACGCGTATATCACGTTACGACAACATTGAAGCACGTCTCCAGGCAATGAAGGAAGAGTTTTACGCCTACCGTAAGCGTCAAGCTATGAAGCATGCCGGTGTTGGCGAACTAGAGAGCGTGTGCTGATCTTGGTCAAAAATACATGCTGTAGACTAAAGCGACCAATGTAAGTGCAAATCCGATACTGTTATATAATTTAAAAAAAAACAATATGGTGTTAGTTTAATGTTTGTTAGGTTTAAAAGAATGACTAACAATTTTGAAACTGGAACATGTTTACGTTTTTATTCGTCGACCTAAAACTTCTATCACACATTTATCGTCTAGAATTTTTTTCTAATTTAAATTGTATTATTTTTATAATGGACTTTTAAAAGGGTTTCAACTGAGGCAATGAGAGAAAACTATTGTAGGCTATTAAATAGATACTGTACCCATACGAAAACAGTTTTTTGAGAAGTAAAAACCGGGAGACCAGAACATTACATAACAGTAGTAATATTAGAGCAATTATTTATAATTTTTCAAATATTACTACTTACTATTAATTAATCCATTAATAGATCAAATACATAAAAACGGACAAATTCTACATCCAAATTTAGTCATTGGATCTACATTATTCAAAGCCCTCATATACGATGTTTATGCAGAGTGACAGGATATTATGACTGCATAAAGAAAAGGAAAAAGATATAGAAGAAGAATAAGACAGCATGTACGCTATTTAGGCTCACATAGGTTAGATATAGCTTAGGTTTTTTTACGTACATATAAGTATATTATATATCTTCTTTGTAGTTTCGTCCTTAACTTATACAATTACTTCTTTTAAGCTCTTTAGTCTCCTTTGTTTGATAAATTTTAAATAAAGTTTAATTTTTGCATTGAAATAATTTTGCCGGTTTCCTGTGCCATGTGTGGGTTACCTCAGACGTATTTATTTTTATAATGTGATCTTCGTTAAGTTGATATAAAAATAAATTTATATACAAAATAAAAAAAATTAAATTAAATAATTTCAGCTAACGAAAATTTCCACGTTGTTCGGTCATAATTCATGTAAATAAGCAATTTTCGCATACTAAACCGAAAAGTGGCCCTCAGCGTTCAACAGGTTGCCCACACATGGTTTCATTTTATGAAAATCTCTGCTCCTTCTACACGATTACGATTTTATTAAATAAAAAAATTCTCTTCCTTCATGTTCCACTTTCAAATTTGTTTAGAAAATAAATACGCAAAATTCATAAAATATATACATATATAAACAATTACGGAGTACTTAAAACTCAATAGAAGTTCGCAAAATTTGCACAAAAATAGTTTAAAACAAATACAAATAAAAAAATCAATCAAAAAATCATTTAATTAAATAATATATAAAAAAGACTTTCAACATAAGAAGAAAACTTTTTAAAGCGCACTGATTTCAAATATAATAAATAATTATTAATTATATAACTAATTAAAATAATTAAAACACAGTCAAAAAATTAATTAAAATAATTTCTATAATTATGATTAAAATAATTATAACTCTTCCACGAATTATTTCTTAAAAATAAACTCTAATAAAATGAAAGCAAAAACAAAACGAAAATTATAGGTAATTTTTAATTAAAACTAATGCTAATATATATATATATATATATATATATATATATATATATATATATATATATATGTAATATAAATAAATATAAATATATACATATATATGTTCTATATATATATATATAAGTTTGCACGAAAATATATATATATATTACATGTATGCATATATTATATATATATAAATATGTATATATAAATATAAGAGTGAATCGCAAAACGAATAAAAATTAAATATAATTAAAATTAAATAAAAACTTAGCGAAATACACAATTAGTAAATTAAATAATTAAAAAATTATTACTATTAAAAAAGCAGAAAGGAAGGAAAAAAATAATATTAGTTAATGATTAAGTGAATATTTCAAAATAAAAAATAAAATGTAAATTACATTTATGTTAAGGTCGTTGAAAATATATTTAAATAAAAACAAATAAAAAAACTGTTTTTAAGTTAATAAATAAAACAAAAATGTTTAATAAAAAATATAATTAAAAATTTTTATTTATAAAGCGCATTCGAAATTAAACTTATAAAAATTTAATAAAAATAATTTTAATAAGATTAAAATCTTAGTGAAGTGTGTAGTTTTAATTTTTAAAATTATGGCTATGGTTAATTTAAATTAATATAATTAATAATTACCAATATGAAAAATATATATTTAAATAAAACAATTAGTGTTAATACTTTATTTATAAACAAAATGTTGAAATATATAATATATTGAATGTATATACTAAACTAACTTAAAAAAAAATTAATATTAGTTATAACAATGATAGAAACTGAACTAAATTTTAAGTAAGCAAAGATAAAGTAAGATCACCAAATAAATTAATATATGTTTAAACATAATTTATGTAAAAGAAATCATATAAGAAAACCACTAGCATTTTCAAAAATAAACCGGAGAAATAATAATTATAAAAAACACTTATGATAATTATTAAAAATTATATTTAAAATTACAAAAAATGGAATTAAGTCAAATCGATTTCAAACACGAACGTAAATAGATATATGTTTACTATTAAAAATATAATTATATATATGATATATAGAAAATTTATGATAAAATTGAAGATATAAAACTTACTGTTAAACATAAAAAAAAAACTTAATTAATATTGGAAATAAAATCTAAGAAAACAATAGCAAGCAGCAGAAATCAATTTAAGTGATAAGTCGATTATATAGAGAAAAATAAAACACAAAAAAAGAAATATATATAGAAATTCAGAAATAAGTTTTCCCAAAAATTAAGACAAATATTAAATTAATTTCAATTGAAAAATATTCAATAAAAAATAATATTGCATAAAATTGCATAAAATTGCATAAAACAGAAATAAATAGTTACACACACACACACACACACACACACACACACACAAATCTACAAATCTATATAACATCAATTATATTATAAATTAAAAGCGATATTATTGCCCAAATGATCTATTTATGAATTCAAACGAACAGAGTAAAATATTAATTCCTTGATTTTTATTAATTAATTAATTTTTTTAATTCATTTTAATTTTTTTTAATATTATGCATATATAATAACATAACATAAGTAAGAGTTGTATTTCTGGAAAAGAATAGATCAAGTGTCAGAGAAAGAAAAGATTTAAAAGCAGATCTAGAATATAAGGGTACGAAGAAGAGAAAGAATTGGTAAGAAGATAAGAAAACAACAATAAAAGAATAGGTGAAGTATAGAAGAAAATATAATTATCAAAAATTAAAAACAATACCTTAAGCTGAGGCAAATAATGGAGGTTGATGAGATAAATTCAAAATATAAAAGAAATATGAATAAACTAAAGAGGGAATTGTAGAGACGAAGTACCAAAACACGAGAAAGATATCATTATGAAAAGAATCTAAAACAAACGCAAAGAAGAAAGCATATTTAGAGGAAAGTGAGATATAAATAAAAGAGAAGCTGAGCTAAAAAGTTATTAGAATGAAGAACAAACATGTGTGACACAATAATAAAAGATAAAACATGCAGAGAGATGAAAAGAAATAGAATAAAATTTATCCATTTAATTCAAAATAGAACATAATAGTAGGAAAGAGGGATAAAACGAAATAGAGAAGGAGCGAGAGCGAGAGAGAGCAATAGAAACAAAGTGATAGTGATAGAGATAGAGATAGAGATAGAGATAGAAGTGTCTACATATAAAAGAAATACAAAATTAAAATGTTATATAAAATTTAATTAAAATGAAATAGTAAGAAGAACTGAAAAGACTGTTTAATAATGACAATTTTACAATATTTAGAAAAATGAGAAGTTAAATGAAATGTTATTTGTTAAAAATAGATGAACCGGAACACAGATATCATAGGCAAAAATAAATTATAATAGAAATGAAGATATGAAGTAAGAACAAAGGTACGCCAAAATAACGTCATTAAAACCAACAGATTTTACTTTCAGAACAACTTTGGAACACAAGTGTTATAAAATTATAATGAAATGGCCTCATAACCGGTAAATTGATTATAGCTACTATCTATAAAGGAACAGAGTTACTGGTTTCTACTATATTGTAATCTTTACAATATATTTTAAGTAAAGTAGTTAAGTGATTAAAACATGTCTATACCAAAAAGTTTTGATATAAAAATAATTTGGTTTGTGTGCACATCTTGTTTTATAAGTTTGGTATTATTTTTGAATCTGACGTAAGATTTGAGTAATTAATAATCCCTCTTTCTCCGTAGATAGTGTTGGAAAGTTTAGAATTCTTTATTCATTAAGTAACCGCTACTACTACTTAATTCGACTTAAAAGTTTTTAATGCTTTCGTTTGACTTTTCATTTTTTTATCATTTTACAGAACATTCAGATAAAATTAAACAAGACATTTTTTCAATATATTTATAATCTTTTAATAATAATTTTTAACATTTCGTGTATTATTTATGAGTCTGGATTATAAGCACAACTTTTACAGTTAGAATGCCCACGATTCTCTCTATTTTGCTTAACCTTTATCATTATATTTCATTTATTTCATATTCCCAGATATCTTCTTGTTTATTCAACTACTTCTAAACTATTCAACTATACGGATATCGTTTTCACATTCTATTCTTCTCACTTTAAATTTAATATTTCTTACCGAAAGAGTCGTTTTCGTATCCCCTATTTCTGTTCTAGACTTATCAGGACCGATTTCATAGCCGTGGCTTAAATCGCAGTGCTTAACTTAAATTGATGTTCACACAACACCAGTTCAATCCTATCACCAAAAACACAATTGCTTAAAATTTATATCACAGCTGTTATAAGATTTCCCCTTCACTAACGTCTAAAATTAACACTAACGTCGGCTATTACGTTTCCACTTATTCTTACTTCAGCTTGTATAGTCGAAAGTATTGCTTTTCACAGCTCAGCTGATTTTTTATAGCACAACTGATTGAGCTCAATGCGATATGAAACTTTACATTTCTTATTTAACTTTATGGTTCCACATCTCTCTTTGTCTCTCCCTCTCTCTCTCCCTCCCTCCCTCTCTCTCTCTCTCTCTCTCTCACCCTTTCTCTCTCCCTCTCTCTCTCCCTCTCTCTCTCCCTCTCTTTCTCTCCCTTTCTCTCTCACCAATTTTTTTATAGATTTTTCTTTTCAAATCGTACCAAGATTATTTTCTCTCACACATATTCTTAAGCCAGCGTAACATAGCTCGAAACATTCCATTACAAATAATTTAAGAAATTAGTAAAATTAAAGAGGCATAAGCGTTAATTTATTATAAATTTTAGTTTAATATAAGAGTCAGGGAGGTTATTATCTGAGCATTAAACGAAGACATCTATATAAAAATTAAAAATATATGGAAAACAAATTGAACAGAAAGGTTTGACACAACTTGACGCCAATACACTGCCACAAGGAAGGTTAAAATTTATTTATAATAATTTTTGTTAAACATACAAACATAAGAAGTATAGGTACATACACATATATCATAATTTATTTTGCATATATGTTCATATATATTAAGAAGAAGAAAGTGTTTTAATCCCCATGGGGATATATGTATACTTGAAAGTGCACATTTCACATGATCTCATGTTACATACGCATACATATATTGATTTTAAAAAGGACATTTTTATAATATTTATTTTCTTTCCATCATATGTGAAAATTATTCTTGCCTTAGTATAAAATTCAATAGAGACGAGCCCAAACAAATCTAGCGATTTCCAAGCGCATGAGGTAAATATTATTATATTTATTTATTAATAAATTTATAACATGTGCTTAAATAAGTATAATTTTGCTATACAACAAATTACATTGAATTTTATATTTAATTATAAATTTTATTTTTAAAATTTTTTTGCATTGTACTTTAATTATTAATTATTTAATTTTTTATTTTTTTATTTTTTTATTTTCTATTTTTTCTTTAATATACACAAGTGCACATAATAAGCTCAATGAAATGCAATTCGTGTTAAAAGATATTAAGAAGACATTAAGAAAATTTTATAAAAATTATACAAACACTGCAAAAAAAACTGCAACAGTAACGAGTTAAGAAAACTACTGAAAAATATATATATTAAATATTAAAAAAATATAAAGTTTAATTAATTAAAAAATACTAAAAGAAATATAACTAAAAATATTGTTGCGCAAAAAATAATTAATATCT